CCACCACCTCTTCCTGCAGATTCTGACAGACAGCTTTGCCAAACCTCCAACTAGAGCCCCTCCCATCAACCTGCAGCTGCCGCCTCCACCTGCAGATTCTGGCAGCTCGGCTCCTCCATTTATAGTCTCTGCCAGTTTTGAAAGACAGCTTCGCCAAACCTCCATCTCCAGCCTCTGCAACAGCCTGCAGCAATGACACCTCCACCTGCAGATCCTGACAAACAGCTTGGCCAAACCTCCAACTAATGTGTGGAAATGTGGCCAGAATTCATTTATAACATCATCCAGAAATCTACACTGCTGAATCCTGCTCGTTTGCCATGTGAAGACCTCAGCTGACCAGGGACCAGAGATGCACCAGGGACCAAAGAGCAGAGATGCACTCATAAATATAACCTTTCAGGTAAGATAGACAATCATAGCTGTGTAATAATACCATACCTGGGCTGATACGTTAAAGCCACATTTCTGTTACATTCACTTGACATCATCTTCTTCCTCTAACAGGTATTTCCATACCTCCATCTACAGCCTCTGTCAGGAAACCTGCTGCCGCCTCGTCTACCTGCAGATTTTGACAGACAGGTTGACAAAACCTCAAATTGAGCCTCTGCCAGCAGCATGCACCCATGGCCTCCACCTGCATATTCTTGCAGACAGTTTGGCCAAACCTCCATCTACACCCTCTGCCAGAGACCTCTAGTACGACCAACTCCACCTGCAGATTCTTGCAGAGAAATGTGGCCAGAATTAATTTACAACATCATCCAGAAATCTACGCTGCTGAATCCTGCCCGTTTCCCATGTGAAGACCTCAGCTGACCAGGGACCAGAGATGCACCAGGGACCAAAGAGCAGAGATGCACTCATAAATATAACCTTTCAGGTAAGATAGACAATCATAATTGTGTAATAATAGCATACCTGGGCTGATAAATTAAAGCCACCTTTCTGTTACATTCAGTTGACATCATCTTCTTCCTCTAACAGGTATTTCCAAATGTTGTGTGAAAGAGCACCCAGCCATCAACAGAAATCTGACGTGCCAAGATGCTGAACTTCATCCACCAGAACGAGCTTTTCTTCTGCCAACTGGTTTGAGCTCATGGTCCTGTGGATCAGGCTGGTGCATAACACTGTGGGATATTTGGTAGTGTCTTAAAGGCCCGTTTCCACCGCAGGAACTTCGGGGTAATTTTACGGGGCCGGGGCCGCTGGTGCGTGTCTCCACCGCAGGAACCCCCTAAGGACAGAGTTCCGGAACTTTTACAGGGGCTAAACAAGTCCCTGTTTCGGGGTAGGTACTCAGAACAGCCCCGAAAGACTCCTGGCTGGGGCTTGGGGATTACTTGGTGCTGATTGGATATACTCAAGGAGGGATGTGACGTGAACAGAAAGCTACAAAATAGCCGGCATTTTTAAAACTCAGCCGACAAGGGTTAGCTCGTTCATATAGCTTCCGCCACCATGTAAAAAATACTCACTAAATGGCCCATGAAAAAAATATTTTTTCCAGCGGATATCTTAGTTACAACATGATTGAGCTAGCAAAGCAGTTTTATGTTGCTATGTGTGGTATTTATTCAGTTATGGGAAATCACAATGTCTAGAAAGCATCAGTAGTGGCTGCAGCTGACAGGGACAGCTCACAACAGCATCTGTTAAAAGCCTCCCCTTGTCGGATACGACATGAAACTACTCCAGTTAGCTCAATCATGTTGTAACTAAGACGTCCGCTGGAAAAAATATTTTTTTCACGGGCCATTTACTGAGTTATTACAGACACCGCTATCGGCTAACAGCTAACAACGTCCCTACGTCGCCCCGGTCAAAATGGTCGCGCAACGATTACGTCACATCCAGAGCCCGTAACTTTACAGGAAACTTCCTCCTACTCCGCTCTCTCAGTGGAGACACGGCGGTTGAGAGAGCCGAGCGAGAGGGAGTTCCTGTAAAGTTCCTGCCCCCCAAATAGTACCAGGAACTTCTTCAGTGGAAACGGGCCTTTAGTGTCTAAACCATGAATTTCCAGTTAACCTGATTTTTGAATGCATGTTAGACATTATTAAACCTTTAGATGTTCTCAAGTGGAGACAGGGATGCTATATATCTGTGTAACTGAATATCTAAAAATAATGTGTAAAGTGCAAACTCTTTGTGCTTTTCTGCAGGCCCTGTTGGACTTAACAGACTTCCAGGAGCTTATTAAGGGCTGCGAGGACAATTCTATCCCCCAACATTTTCTAACAGAAAAAACTTATTTCATTTCCCCGTGCAGAGATATCCGCCCTGCTCTGTATGAATGTGTCCAGAGATTTTATCATGATTTGGCTCTACATCAGTAAATTTGGCTTGAATTGGTTTGAAAATGCTTGTTTGTCTGTCACTTTCTTACAAGTCATCAGTGTCTACTGTCTACAGTTAGTATGTCACTACAAAGAGTCTTGAGTTTCAGTTCCCAATAAGCCATCAGCAAAAGCTCATCAGTCATCTGCAATTATAAAACATGTTAATGAAGTATTAATAACAGATTCGTATAGTAATCCATTGATTTTGCAGTGGTAAATGTTATAAAGTTGATTAGAAATTGATTTTGTTTTCGATTGCCTGCAGCCCCTTTCCAGAAGGTCAAACATTTATCTTCCTGATAAAATAAGGACAAAAGGAATTCCAAATATAGCGTCATTCAGATCAGATGTAGTTTCATGATATAGAAATCACAGTTTGGGGTTCTCCTGATGTTCTGTGTCTTGTGTGTGTAGAGCAGGTGTCACAAAGTGCTTCACAATTAAAGACAAAAAAAACAAATAAAAGGCAGCAAAACAGACACAACATGCAGACATAAAACATGCCAAAAACATACAAATTATGAAATGAAGTGACATACTAAAAACTAAATTAAGGACCTGCAGTCCAACAGGAGAGAGCTCCAAAGTTCAGGTTTAGTGATGACCTCAAAAGNGGAGGTGGAGGCAGTGGCTGCAAGTTGCTGACAGAGGCTGTAGATGGAGGTTTGGCTAAGCTGTCTGTCAGAATCTGCAGGTGGAGGCAGTGGCTGCAGGCTACTGACAGAGGCTGTGGATGGAGGAGCTGAGCTGTCTGCCACAATCTGCCAGTGTGGAAATACCTGTTAGAGGAAGAAGATGATGTCAAGTGAATGTAACAGAAATGTGGCTTTGATTTATCAGCCCAGGTATGCTGTTATTACACAGTTATGATTGTCTATCTTACCTGAAAGGTTATATTTATGAGTGCATCTCTGCTCTTTGGTCCCTGGTGCATCTCTGGTCCCTGGTCAGCTGAGGTCTTCACATGGCAAAAGGACAGGATTCAGCAGCGTAGATTTCTGGATGATGCTGTAGATGAATAATTGGCCAAACCTGCATCAACAGCAGACTACTGACAGAGGCTCTAGTTGGAGGTTTGGCCAAACTGTCTGTCTAAATCTGCAGGTGTCACCTGCAGGTTCTTGCAAACCTCCAACAACAGCCTCTTTCAGCAACCTGCAGCTGCCACCTCCACCTGCAGATTCTTCTAGACAGCTCAGCTCCTCCATCTACAGCCTCTGTCAACAATCTGCAGCCACCACCACCACCTGCAGATTCTGACAGACAGCTTTGCCAAACCTCCCGCTAGAACCCCTGCCATCAACCTGCGGCCTCTGCCTCCACCTGCAGATTTTGGCAGACAGCTCATCTCCTCCAGCTACAGCCTCTGTCAGAAACCTGCAGCCCCCACCTCCACCTGCAGATTCTGACAGACAGCTTGGCCACACCTCAAACTAAGCCTCTGCCATCAACCTGCAGCCACCACCTCCACCTGCAGATTCTGGCAGAGGGTTCAGTTCCTCCATCTACAGCCTCTGCAGCCTGCATCTACAGCCGCCTCCACCTGCAAGTTCTGACAGACAGCTTGGCAAAACCTACGACTAAGCCTTGGCCAGCAACATGCAGCTGCAGCCTCCCCCTGCATATTCTGGCAGAGAGCTTAGCCAAGCCTCCATCTACAGCCTCTGCTGAATTCTGTCCCCTTGCCATGTGAGGACCTCAGCTGACCAGGGACCAGAGATGCACCAGGGACCAAAGAGCAGTGATGCACTCATAAATATAACCTTTCAGGTAAGATAGACAATCATAACTGTGTAATAATAGCATACCTGGGCTGATAAATTAACGCCACCTTTATGTTACATTCAGTTGACATCATTTTCTTCCTCTAACAGGTATTTCCACACTGGCAGATTGTGGCAGACAGCTCGGCTCCTCCATCTACAGCCTCTGTCAGCAGTCTGCAGCTGCCACCTCCACCTGCAGATTCTGACAGACAGCTTGACAAACCTCAAACTAGAGCCTCTGTCGAGGCTACCGCCACCTGCAGGCTTTGAAAGACAGCTTGGCCAAACGTCAAACTACAGCCTCTATCAGTAACATGCACCTCTGCCACCTCCACCTGCAGGTTCTTGCAGACAGCTGTGGCCTGACCTGCAACAACAATCGCTGTCAGCAACCTGCAGCCACCACCTCTTCCTGCAGATTCTGACAGACAGCTTTGCCAAACCTCCAACTAGAGCCCCTCCCATCAACCTGCAGCTGCCGCCTCCACCTGCAGATTCTGGCAGCTCGGCTCCTCCATTTATAGTCTCTGCCAGTTTTGAAAGACAGCTTCGCCAAACCTCCATCTCCAGCCTCTGCAACAGCCTGCAGCAATGACACCTCCACCTGCAGATCCTGACAAACAGCTTGGCCAAACCTCCAACTAATGTGTGGAAATGTGGCCAGAATTCATTTATAACATCATCCAGAAATCTACACTGCTGAATCCTGCTCGTTTGCCATGTGAAGACCTCAGCTGACCAGGGACCAGAGATGCACCAGGGACCAAAGAGCAGAGATGCACTCATAAATATAACCTTTCAGGTAAGATAGACAATCATAGCTGTGTAATAATACCATACCTGGGCTGATACGTTAAAGCCACATTTCTGTTACATTCACTTGACATCATCTTCTTCCTCTAACAGGTATTTCCATACCTCCATCTACAGCCTCTGTCAGGAAACCTGCTGCCGCCTCGTCTACCTGCAGATTTTGACAGACAGGTTGACAAAACCTCAAATTGAGCCTCTGCCAGCAGCATGCACCCATGGCCTCCACCTGCATATTCTTGCAGACAGTTTGGCCAAACCTCCATCTACACCCTCTGCCAGAGACCTCTAGTACGACCAACTCCACCTGCAGATTCTTGCAGAGAAATGTGGCCAGAATTAATTTACAACATCATCCAGAAATCTACGCTGCTGAATCCTGCCCGTTTCCCATGTGAAGACCTCAGCTGACCAGGGACCAGAGATGCACCAGGGACCAAAGAGCAGAGATGCACTCATAAATATAACCTTTCAGGTAAGATAGACAATCATAATTGTGTAATAATAGCATACCTGGGCTGATAAATTAAAGCCACCTTTCTGTTACATTCAGTTGACATCATCTTCTTCCTCTAACAGGTATTTCCAAATGTTGTGTGAAAGAGCACCCAGCCATCAACAGAAATCTGACGTGCCAAGATGCTGAACTTCATCCACCAGAACGAGCTTTTCTTCTGCCAACTGGTTTGAGCTCATGGTCCTGTGGATCAGGCTGGTGCATAACACTGTGGGATATTTGGTAGTGTCTTAAAGGCCCGTTTCCACCGCAGGAACTTCGGGGTAATTTTACGGGGCCGGGGCCGCTGGTGCGTGTCTCCACCGCAGGAACCCCCTAAGGACAGAGTTCCGGAACTTTTACAGGGGCTAAACAAGTCCCTGTTTCGGGGTAGGTACTCAGAACAGCCCCGAAAGACTCCTGGCTGGGGCTTGGGGATTACTTGGTGCTGATTGGATATACTCAAGGAGGGATGTGACGTGAACAGAAAGCTACAAAATAGCCGGCATTTTTAAAACTCAGCCGACAAGGGTTAGCTCGTTCATATAGCTTCCGCCACCATGTAAAAAATACTCACTAAATGGCCCATGAAAAAAATATTTTTTCCAGCGGATATCTTAGTTACAACATGATTGAGCTAGCAAAGCAGTTTTATGTTGCTATGTGTGGTATTTATTCAGTTATGGGAAATAACAATGTCTAGAAAGCATCAGTAGTGGCTGCAGCTGACAGGGACAGCTCACAACAGCATCTGTTAAAAGCCTCCCCTTGTCGGATACGACATGAAACTACTCCAGATAACTCAATCATATTGTAACTAAGACATCCGCTGGAAAAAATATTTTTTTCACGGGCCATTTACTGAGTTATTACAGACACCGCTATCGGCTAACAGCTAACAACGTCCCTACGTCGCCCCGGTCAAAATGGTCGCGCAACGATTACGTCACATCCAGAGCCCGTAACTTTACAGGAAACTTCCTCCTACTCCGCTCTCTCAGTGGAGACACGGCGGTTGAGAGAGCCGAGCGAGAGGGAGTTCCTGTAAAGTTCCTGCCCCCCAAATAGTACCAGGAACTTCTTCAGTGGAAACGGGCCTTTAGTGTCTAAACCATGAATTTCCAGTTAACCTGATTTTTGAATGCATGTTAGACATTATTAAACCTTTAGATGTTCTCAAGTGGAGACAGGGATGCTATATATCTGTGTAACTGAATATCTAAAAATAATGTGTAAAGTGCAAACTCTTTGTGCTTTTCTGCAGGCCCTGTTGGACTTAACAGACTTCCAGGAGCTTATTAAGGGCTGCGAGGACAATTCTATCCCCCAACATTTTCTAACAGAAAAAACTTATTTCATTTCCCCGTGCAGAGATATCCGCCCTGCTCTGTATGAATGTGTCCAGAGATTTTATCATGATTTGGCTCTACATCAGTAAATTTGGCTTGAATTGGTTTGAAAATGCTTGTTTGTCTGTCACTTTCTTACAAGTCATCAGTGTCTACTGTCTACAGTTAGTATGTCACTACAAAGAGTCTTGAGTTTCAGTTCCCAATAAGCCATCAGCAAAAGCTCATCAGTCATCTGCAATTATAAAACATGTTAATGAAGTATTAATAACAGATTCGTATAGTAATCCATTGATTTTGCAGTGGTAAATGTTATAAAGTTGATTAGAAATTGATTTTGTTTTCGATTGCCTGCAGCCCCTTTCCAGAAGGTCAAACATTTATCTTCCTGATAAAATAAGGACAAAAGGAATTCCAAATATAGCGTCATTCAGATCAGATGTAGTTTCATGATATAGAAATCACAGTTTGGGGTTCTCCTGATGTTCTGTGTCTTGTGTGTGTAGAGCAGGTGTCACAAAGTGCTTCACAATTAAAGACAAAAAAAACAAATAAAAGGCAGCAAAACAGACACAACATGCAGACATAAAACATGCCAAAAACATACAAATTATGAAATGAAGTGACATACTAAAAACTAAATTAAGGACCTGCAGTCCAACAGGAGAGAGCTCCAAAGTTCAGGTTTAGTGATGACCTCAAAAGGACCTCCAACACAAGTTTTGATTATTTTCGTAGTTCTCTCAGGAGTTCTCATGCACTGTCAGCACCCCTGCAGCTTCCCCTCAACAGCACCCAGTGGATCATCTTCCTTGATTTTCTCCTGCACATCTGCCTCCTGGTTCTTGACCTCAGCTTACATCTCCAGTTCCTGGTTCAAACTCAAACTTGAACTGACCTGCTATATTAATGTTAGCTGGCATGGCATTAATGGAGGCTGGGGTGGTACATCAGAGATACTGAACTGAAAACACTGTCGAGCCTGAATCATTCTGACCTCTTTTTTCACTTTGAGCTGTTATAAGGACGGCATTTCTATAGGCTCTGACCTGGCACTGGCTCTTGGTAATGGTCCATATATAAAATAATGCTAATGTTATGATTAAACAGGCAAATTAAGCCCAGCCCAACCACTTCACATTGGTGGTACATTATCAGTATTATGGTTGAAAAATCAGGCTAAGGAGAAATTCAATACTTTGGACATTTAGACCTGTTTACAGGTCATACTCCATAATACTGAAATGCACAAATCCTGTATGAAATGGTCGCTCCACTGTTGAGCAAGCCAACTTTGTTTCCTCTTTCCTTCTAGACATGTTGCTTGCACATTATATTCAAACGTTGATGATCCGCACATGCACATGAAGGAGGGATTGTTCACAGGACTGACTAGGACTGGAGCAACCGTATTGTGGTTGGATGAAAGAAAACAGCAATTTTGCAATTACCAAGTTATTTTTAATATGCACTTTATTGCATGAGCTAGCAGCCAACTTGGAGTTGATATTGAGTCGGTATTAGCTGTGAACCCAGCCTAAATGTTGACACACAGTCTTGGCACATTAATAAAATCAATGAAAATATCCCTTGTTACCACATCACTTCATGCAAGTAACATTAACGGTAATGTTATCTTAACAATGAATTAATATTGAGATGAAGGGCCAATAATAAAGAAAATGACAGAGTAACACAAACACAAGTAAATTTAGCACGCAAACTTGCTTAACACATTAGCCATTGAGAGAGTTGTGGAACCACTTGAAAGTATATCATTATTAAAACAGCAGTCATTCATGACACAGCAATTAATGACCACTATGTGTTCATATTTACCTGTGAACGGGTCACTGATGCTCCTATTATGGAATTCCTGGTCGCATATGCAATGCGCCATCCCACCACTAGAGGGCACTTGACCAACCTTCTTGACCAATGTGTGTCTCTACTCTGGTATTGTATTCAGATTTTTTCTAAGTGCTGTGTGAAATGCAAGGAAGGTTAGAGTAGCTTTAATCAAAAAAATAATCGCTAGATCATTCGCTAAAAAAATAATTGTTTGGGACAGCCCTAAAAGGGATGCAAAAGAGTCCAGTGTCTCTGTCAAACTGACCAAGTGATGTCACTTCAGTCAGTGTTGGTTGGCTGATAACTACTAAGTTTGAAAATGAAAAATGATCTGGGACTGTTGTGTAGTCAGAGAGAAGTTTACCAGATCTGTGTAAGCCGGTTCTGGCCAAATAAAATTCTTTCTTAATAAAAAACAATATATGATCTTCAAAAAGACATTTTCAAAAGAGTCCTGGAAAAAGGCAGATGTCTGTCACATAAGGTTAATAATGTATACTATGAGCAGATTAGGAGGCTATGTCAATGCTGTATGCACCACTTACCAGAAACAGCCAGACAGGCACAAAGAGTGGAGGAGCAGCAGGTCCCTCATCATCTCCTGTGTTACTGAGAACGTGAGACAAGGTGAGTTTATATAGTGGAAACTTAAAGGTCTTCTGAGCAATCATTTCAAGCAGTTTCAACTGAAAGGAGCTTAGCAACACGACTATGAAGTAGCCTGTTTTAGGCTATAAGCAAAAAAAAATAGAAAATAAAAAATTGCATGAGATAGTGATGGATTAAGAGAGGGAGCTGGAGGGCCTGAGGTCCATGGAGACTGCTTATGCATAGGGCCCAGCATTTTGGTGCTACGCCCCTGCATATACTCAGAATGTTCCCCTGGGTGCTGTCAGTGTCATCCATAACATCTTTCCCAATTCATTACCTATGGAGCAGCTCCAGACTTTAAAAATTTTGAGTTTTAACACTGTAGTTTTGGGATTTGGGAGAGAGTTGTTCATATTTACTAATATTTTTGGACCGTCTTAGACCATGGAAATTACATATGAATTTTGAAAATGTGCGACTCCCCTTTGAGTCAGTGCACAACGGCAGTACATGCACGCACACACACACACACACACACACACACATACACCCTCCTCTTCCACTATACACTATTTCACCATGTTTAATCTAATATTCATACTCAATGCACTTCGCAGAACCACTGACCACTTATGCTCCATGTTTGTACATATAAGCTCTCACAATATCAGTTTTCAGATAGAATCATTATGAATGTTTCCTTGTTAAAAAGATGTTCTCTATAGGCAGGGTCTTCACAACCTCACAGTCTTCTTTGCACAAGCACATTTGCAATTTTGTGTGAGCCCACACATTTCACACATGGGTTTTGCAGCTTGTGGCCTCTAACAGGAAATTACGGCCAAGACAAATGACACGTACAATGTGTCCTTTAAGTCTATATTTATTTATTTATTTATTTATATATTGGCTCAGAACTTTCACATACAAGAGGTCCCATCTCTTATCACAAGCTGAAAGGCTCGTGAAATCACTGGTCAAACTTAGGTAGACTA